ATCTCCAGTTTTTTTATGTGAGTACTAAGTGCTCTAAACTTGTCTTGAAAAACTATCATAATTGATCGTCATTCATTTGAACATGTGTTTTCATTTTTCTGAAGTTTTTAACTTTCTTCATTGATGTCTCAACACATTTTTTTAAGTCAGTAGGGAGTTGTTCTGTTTCCATGAGTTTGTAGGCTTTCCTTTGTTTCTGATGTCTAGCTTTAATCTGCTGTAGGAAGTAGGGTATTATTTTAGTTTTCTTGTATCTGTTGAGACTTGTTTTGTATACAAGTATGTCGTCAATTTTGTTCCATGAGCTGCTGAGAAGAAGGTATATTCTTTTGTGTTTGGGTGAAATGTTCTATAAATATCTGTTAGGTCCATTTGATTCATGATGATATTTAAATCCAGAATTTCTCTGTTTAATTTTTGTCTGAATGATCTGTCTAAGGATAGAGTGGGGTATTGAAGTCACCCACTATCACCTTGTTGGGGTCAACAGGTGCTTTTAGATGTAGTAGTGTTTGTTGTTATTTTAGTGAAAGTTGGTTCCTTTCTATTTGGTGCATAAATATTTAGAATTGTATTACTCTTGGTGAATTTTTCCTTTGATGAGTATATAGTGTCCATCCCTATCTCTTTTAATCAGTTTTAGTTTAAAGTCTATTTTGTCAGATATTAAAATAGCTGTGCCTGTCTGCTTCTTGGTTCCATTTGCTTAGAATGCCTTTTTCCACACTTTTACACTAAGGTGATATCTCTCCATGATGGTGAGGTGTGTTTCTTGGGTTCAGCAGGAAGATGGATATTGTTTTCTAATCCAGTCTATTAATCCATATCTTTTTAATTGGGAAATTGAGACCATTTATTGAGAGTTATTATTCAGCAGTTTTTACTAATTCCTGTTATTTTACTTTGGTATTCTTACCCCCTTCTTTTGATGAACTGTTTTTGTATGTTATTTGGTTATTTGACTTTCTCCTCCGACTGAAGTTTACCTTCCAGTGCCTTCTGTAGTCCTAGATTGGTGGACAGAAAATGCTTAAATCTGTTCTCATCATAAAATGGTTTTCCTTCTCAGTTGTCAATGATAGTTTTTCTGGGTAGAGTAGTGTGGGCTATGGTCTTTCAGGACTTCTCTAACACCTGTCCTGGCCCTTCTATCTTTCTGAGTCTTCATTGAAAAGTCAGGTGCTGTTCTAATGGGTCTGCCTTTATATTTGATTTAGTCTTCTTCCCTTGTATCTTTTAATATCCTTTCCTAGTCTTTTCCCATTGTGTCTTTTAATGTCCTTTTTTGTTCTTTACATTTAATGTTTGATTCTTATGTGCAGTATAGAATTCATTTTCTGGTCCTGCTCATCTGGTGTTCTGTTTGCTTCTTGCAACTTGATAGACATCTCTTTCTTTAGATTGGAGAAATATTCTTAATTAGTGAAAAAAGAGGCCATAAATTTGAAGGGAGGGGCATTACATTGGATGGTTGGAGGGAGGAAAAGGGAAATTTTGTAATTTTATTATAATCTCAAAAACAAAACTAAAATAATAATAACAACAATAATAATAATAAAATATTTTTCCATGACTTTGATTTTGATTTATTCTTCTATACCTGTAATTTGTAGGGTTTTTGTTGTCTATTCCTAATATCCCAGTTTTCATGGATATTTTGTGCCTAAATATTTTTTTAGTTTTAACATTTTCTTTGACTGAGCTATCCATTTCATCTACATTATGTTCAAGACTTGAAATTCACTCTTCTATGTCTTTTAATTTGTTAGTGAGGCTTACTTAAGAGTTTTTTTGTTTGATTTCCTGAATTTTTAATTTTGAGTTTATTTCTGCTTGGCTTTTCTTAGGAATTCTATTTCTTTATTAAATTCTACTTTCATATCTCAAATTGTTTTCTTTATTTCATTCAACTGTTTGTGTGTTCATGGTCTTAATTGAGACATTTATTCATATCTTCTCTAAGGTCCTTGAGCATATTCATAATTGCTGTTCTGAAGTCCTTGTCTTACGCTTCAGCAAAATTGCTTTTCTCAGGGCATGTTTCAACAGGGTCACTAGCTTATCAGCAGGGGCACACTGTCTTGGTTGTTCATATTTTTTTGCACTTAGGTCTAGGTATCTAGAGTTATATTTGTGGTGTTTCTTGGTATAGTTATCTGGTCTTCCCTTTTATTTAGTTAAGTGTTCAGTTATCTAAAGAAATGTCTATGATTTCTTGCAGGGTATGGCTACCAGTAACAAACTCCTTTAATTTCTGCTTGTCTGAGAAGTATTTCCCTTTCACTTTTAAAGAATAATTTTTGGGGCATAGAATTCTAGTATTATGTGGTTTAGGTCTCTCAAATTTTAAACTGTATTATATTTTCTTCTTGCATTCATGGTTTCTAAGAAGTCAAATGTAAGTTTTATTTTTTAAGTAAGGTCTATTTTTTCCTCTAATTTATTTCAATACTGTTTCCTTACATTTGGTTTTCTGTGGGTTTTGTATGATACAACTATCATTAATTTCATTTGGTTTGATTTAGTTTCATCTGGTGTTCTACCATCTATTTCAGCATTTAGTTGAGCTTACATCTATGATTTAGTATCTGATAATAACTTGAAGAAATTCTCAGTCATTTTTGCTTCAAATATCCTTATTTTCACCTTTTAATGCTTGCACTTGGCATATAGTACATGGTTTTAGTTGCTTGACAGGTCTTGGATTTTCTTTCTATATTACAAAGTTTCTAGGTTTGAGGATTTTTGATTTGTATTATTTTTGTTTTGTTTTGTTGTCCTTTTGATGTCTGCTTCTTTAAGTTTCTACTGATATACACTCAAGCTTAAGTTCTTTTCTCTCTCAATTTTTTTCTGACATTATCATTACAGACACTTGATTTAGGTTTTTTTTTTTTTTTTTTTTTTTTTTTTTTTTTTACAAGTACTGGTTCCTACAAAAGCTCAGCTCGAAGGTCTCTTACCTGCTAAGATGTGAATCTCTTTATTTGTTCAATTAATTCAACTCATGGCTCAATGCATTTCAACAGCATGTCAGTTCTCTGCTATGTCTAAGAAAGATTGCTGTTTTTCAGTTTGCTTAATTGTTTAGTATGCATTTATATGACTCCTAAAATATTTTCATGCCAAGACAGAAACTAGAAGTCCCTTTCCAATCTGAACACCAGTTTTGCACATGCATAATTTCACAACACCAAGTTTTAAGCATTTATATTAACCAACTGAGTTGTGCAGACCTTAAGTTATTCATTGTACAAGTTAAAAATAAAACTGTCATTAAATATTACTGAATGATATCATCAAGAAGCTATGTAGTGCCGGGCGGTGGTGGCGCACGCCTTTAATCCCAGCACTTGGGAGGCAGAGACAGGTGGATCTCTGTGAGTTCGAGGCCAGCCTGGGCTACTAAGTGAGTTCCAGGAGAGGCGCAAAGCTACACAGAGAAACCCTGTCTCGAAAAACCAAAAAAAAAAAAAAAAAAAAAAAAAAGAAGAAGAAGCTATGTAGTTTATTGTAATGAGAACATAATTTCCAAAATTCTAATTTTAATCTGAAAGCTTCAATTTCATCATTGGTCACATATATTCTCAACTGTTTGCCATGAAGTAAGAGGTTCATTACTTCATTTTTAGAAAGAAGTCTGTAAAATGTTGATGTTTTGAATAACCACAGTTGCTCTGTTCATGGCTCCTTTTTATAAAAATGATATTCCATGAAAAAGTGACCAGTTTGGCTCACAATGAAAACATTTAAAACATTTACAGCAACCATCATACTTCTTTATGCAGCAAAAAGTATCAACATGTATTCATAGTAGAGATTTAATCAAGTTATAATTGTAACCAAGAATTTTAAAGTAAAACTGACTTATTTATTTAATGTGATGCCCAGTCAATTGCTGTGCTGGAAAAACCTATAAAATATAGCATATACAATTCTTAAAATGAAAACCAACAGTGACATTCCTGGATCATGTATTATTACTTGTTATTTTAGAGTGTACTCTTTCTACTTATATAAAACAGTGTAGAACAGTATGCTCTGTTGTATTCAGGCAGCTGCTCCATACATTTAGTGTTTGCTGTATCTCTTAACTGCAGTGATACATATTATCTTGGTTTGTATAAGCATGCTATATGACATTCAAGTGATAATGAAATTGACTAAAGATACATTTCTCAGAATGTACATCTTCCACACTTCCATCTCCACTCCATTTTTTAAGCAACAAACACTATATTTAGAGATCACTCAGATGTTGATTACATAACTTGGATAATTCATTTACTCTGATCCTCAGTTTCTCAACTATAAAATGGGATTATTTTAAAGTATTATGAATGGGGAAGATACTCTAAATAACATTGCCTGATACATACATTTTCAGATGGTAATTCTCAATATCTAAAAATGAAAAACAAAACAAAACAATGTTGGTGACCTAGAATCCAGTCAGTCTAGTGAAAGGGAAAGAAAAATCACACTTATTTGAAGCCACATAGGATTTCAAGGTGGGCAAACACAGTCAAAAGGATTGTTGTTATTAGGTTTTATAAAATGGAAACTGTACTTATAGCTTTAAATGGCAAGTGTGTTGGTAATTGCATCTTTTGTGGTTACAACCGTGGTTAAGACTGACAAAAAAATAAACTACTATGTAAAAACATATTTTTTAAAATGTCAGTTTCAGAGAAAGACTAAAAAGCCTTCATTATCTGGGCCACATATAACAAACAGCATTCATATGACTGTAATGCTAGCACTCAGAGTCAAGTTTAAGGTCACCTTGATCTAGGTTACAAATAGTTTACTCTGGAAAGGAAGGAAGGAAGGAAGGAAGGAAGGAAGGAAGGAAGGAAGGAAGGAAGGAAGGACAGAAGGAAGGAAGGAGAGAAGAAGGAAGAGAGTGAGGGAGGGAGGGGGGATTGGTGATGTGTATTAGCTACTTTTCTCATTTCTGTGACAAAATACCTTCTAAGAGAGCATTTATTTTGGCTTACAGTTTGAATGGATACAGTCCATCATGGCAGTGAAGATATGGCAGCAAGACTGTGAGATGTTTGGTCATGTTGCATCTGAAGTCAAGAAACAGAAAGCAGGTAAGAAATATAATCAGGCCATAAAACCTCAAGTGCCATCCCCAGGAACCCATTTCTAGCAAGTTTTTGCCTCCTAAAGGTTCTTCAACCTTCCAAAACCAGTAAAAACACCTGGAAATAAAAGATGTTAAATGTGAGTGTATGGGGGACACTTCATTGTCAAGGTGTAACTTCAATCTTCAGGTAGTTTCTGGGAAGAAGTCTATTGTAGTTCATAAATCTATTTTTGGTTGTGAGCCTAGCCTTTAATGGCCAAGCCATCTCTCTAGCCTTCATAAATCAATAGTCCAGCATAAATGAACAATGTTTCCAAAGTTAATCTATACCTGGAATGATTATATCTGCAGTCCAATGTTTAGGTTCCACCTGCTGAAATCTGATTTACATGACCTCTCAACTTTTTAAATTAAAATTTTTGTTGCCTTGATATACACCAAAGTCATCTGGGAAGAGGGAATTTCAACTGAGAAAATGCCTCCACTATATTGGTCCATAGGCAAAACTCAGGGAGACTTTTCTTTATTAATGACTGATGTGGGTGATTCCAGCCCATTTTATGTGATGCTACCTCTGCTTGTATAAGAAAGCAGTCTGAGCAAGCCATGAGGAGCAAGCCAGTAAGAAGGATCCTTCCATTGCCTCTGCTTCAGTTCCTGTCTCCAAGTTCCTGCTCTAACTTTCCTAAATGATGGAATGTAAACTGTAAGGCAATATAAGTCCTGTTCTCTCCAATTTACTTTTAGTCATGGTCTTTATCATAGCAATAGAAAGTAAACTAAGACACAACTGCATTCTTAGTGTCCTAAACCAATGTTATTCCATTTTTCCTCTACAATTTTGACAGGCTATGATAATGGCTTGAGTTAACAAGATGAAAGTTAATTGTTACTGGCCTGCATGGCAGAAATGAGGATATTCTAAAGAAAGACTTGTGGCCCTCCCTTTGACCATCAAATTATTGAAACAATGGACCCAAGAAATTACAGTTTCCTTAGGATTCTCATGCCAAGAAGAGAAAAGGACTAAAGCCCTAAGACCCAACAGAGGAGGAACTTATCTCCAGGAAAGATTGACAACTGGTCAGATGACACGGCAAGAGAGACTGACCTACTGGATATTAGAGCTCAGACAGCGGTGGGCAGGAGATCCACACCTTGGTGGGACTCTTTAGTTATGCATTTATCTTATCTTCTATTTAAGCTTTGCCCTCATGTTGGGATCCTGAAGATTTGTGGAAATCACTGGATCTCTGTCCCTCGTCTCAATATGATCCATGCTGAATAAATATACCTCTATTTTTCTCTCTCTCTTTTTTGCTTTTCATTATTAGTTTAGCTCTGTTAATTGGCCTATCAATGACAGGTGGTTGAACTTGGTTTTGTTAGGTCTATCAGAATATAGACTCTGATCCTAACTCCAGTAACAATCTAATACATACAATTTCCTGTGGCTTCTAAAATAAGTTACCACAGAGTTGCTGGCTTAAAATAACGAACATTCTCTTATTTTTGTGGAAGTTAGAAGCAAAAAAAAAAATCAATGTCATTTAGGAAAAAAAATCAATGTATCAGCAGGGTCACATTTGCTCCACAGTTTCAAGTTTTAAAGCTGCACTCTTATCTTGTGGCCCTTTCTTCACGTTCAAAGCCATCAGTGTACTGTTTAAGTCATCCTTTGATCAGTTTAATCATGTAACCATCATTTATCTAGCAGGGGAGGAGATACTCTAAAGAGAGACACCTTTGCTTCTCATTTTGGGTATCAGACTATTGAAACAATAAACTCCAACAAATTCAAGTTAAAATTAAATTCATGCTAGCAAAAGGAAGCCCTGGCAACAAGAAAAGTCACTTGCCTCCCTGGAAGAGATTACACAAATCTCTGATCATTTATCAAGGCACTTTGCAAGACAGAGGAAACCAAACAAAGGTCAGTAATGGGCAAGACCACACTTTGACCAGGACTGTCTAATTATGCATACCTCTTACCCCCTGTGTAAAGTAAAACCTCATTCCAGGTCCCTGATGATTGACTTGGGGGTTCACTGGATGATCCTTTGTTTGTTCCTCTTTTTTTCTCTACTTTTCCTATTTGTCTTGTTTTAATGGAGGAAAGAAAGACTGAACCTTGCTTGTTGAAACTGTTAGGGCCAGGATTTTACTCTAAAAGCTCTAGTAACAGGTATATTGTCATGTTTTCTGGCCCAACTTCCTCTATCCCCCCCCCATATAATGGCATCTGTGATGACAATTAGGGCCCACCAAAATAACCCAGGGTTATGATCATATCTCACATTCTTTAACTGAACAATATCTTCAGAGCCCCCTTTACAATATCTAATAATATTCTGGATTCCAGAAATGAAAACTGAATAAATTTAAAAGCTTTCAATCAGTCTACAGCGGCCAGAGTATAGAAAAGTATTCCAAAACTTAACTCAATTTTTAAACATTTTGAACAATGTAACTTCAACAGCCATCAAAATCATATACATAGGTACTTGTTACGACACTTAAATGGAAGTCTCTCTTGTTTGCTCTACTGCTGTTCTTTTACATGTCTCTTTCCCTTTCTTAATGCTTTTATCTAAGTCCAGATTAAACGCTTTACTTTATAAACTCCAATTTTGCTTCATATCAACTCCTCCAAATTTCTTTTTTTAAATTTATATATCTCATATATTTTCATATTTTTGAAATTTAAATATAATTATATAATTTCTGCTTTACTTTAGCTTTTCCCTCCAATCCCTTCCATAACCCCCCATTTGCTCTCTATCTCAAATACATGGTCTCTGTTTTTTCTTTGTTATTACACACACACACACACACACACACACACACACACACACCAGGAATATATGTGTGTAGATTGCTACACATATAAATACAATCGCTTCAGTCCATAACATTACTTGGAACAGGGTACCTCCTATGAGATTGTATCTCCTAGAAATATGAAGGAAGCTACACCTATAATATTGCAAGAGTATGGTTGTCTAAATAGTACCTGAATAAGAGCAACATCAATGGCATGCTAATATGGAAGAAGGAAATCACACTAGGCCCCAACACATTAGACAAAGAGCTACAAGCAAATCAGGAATGCTGAGAGCCAGAGAAATAGTATTCCTCAGGGAAGAGTCCTGTACTTGGTTATCCAATACCAAGTGGTCAGTCCTGAAATCATATACATACAAGTAATATTCTAGGATTTCTTTTCTGTAGTGTATATCAAGAATTTAGGCTGAATAAAGGTTTCTAAAAAGAACTCCTCAGGCTGCTACAGCTGGCATTGTATGGCTGCATGTCTCACTGATGCTGACAGTAGATGTGCCAGACACTGTTGGAAATAGATTACATACATTAGCTCTTTTCATTCTTCTAAGTCTATGAGGAGAGATTATTATTAACTATCACCGTTTTCCAGGAGAAGAAGGTACAAATTAAGTAACCCATTCATAATCACAGATTCCATTAAACTGTGGGGTCAAATTCAAGCATAGGCAGTTTGGCTCTGGAGCACCCAATAGCCACTACACTAGCTTTTTAAGACACGAGGAAATAACACATTCAGGAGGTGAAAAAAAAGAATATCCTTAAGTTACTAAATTATTACTAAGTAGAAGAGGTATTTTATATATTCTGTGTCATTGTTGAAAACGAGACTAAGAATGAGAGCTGCCAATTATACTATTTGAAGACATTACCAGGTCATTCTGAATCTGCTCTGTGAGTGTGAGTCTCCCATCGATGGAAATTGAGCCAAAGGAGAACAGGTAACAGTTTTAAAATGTTCTAAAATCCAGATGGAGAGCTAAGGACTACATGTCACTCTTGAGGTAAGCATCTGCATAGTTGTTAAAGGCTGCTGCTAGAACTGTACTTTACATGACCACTCAAAACTGGCTAGGTACAACATGACTTACAAAGATGCCTGCTCAACTATCCTTTCCTTCATGTTAAAGGCATTTCAATATAATTTACTTTGTGAAACTGCATGTTACTAACATGCATCTGATGCCATAACAAATGGTAAAAATCCAAATAAAAACAGTAAGAGGGAGCAAACCTGGCCTAGTTTCATTTGGTTGCTACTAAGAAGTACTCCAAGAAAAACCACCTTGGGAGGAAAAGTTTACTTTAGCCCACAATTCCAAGATTTAGTCTATTATAGTAGAGAGTCAAGGTGGCAGGAACCTAAAACAGCTAGTCACATCACATTCACATTCAAAAGCAGAGAGAAAAGAATATGTTGCATGCCTACTTGTGTTCACCTCTCCAATATTCTTACACAGTTCAGCAACCCTTACATGTGGAATGGTACCACCCACAGTAGACTAAATCTTCCCACATGAATTCATGTAATCAAGACAATTCCCCCGAGACATGCCTACAGGCCAACTTGATGTACACAATCCCCCTATGAAACTCTCTTTCCAGGTGATTCTAAGTTATATCAAATTGACAATTAAAGGTAACCATCACATACAACCCACAAATTGCCCTTAGTTTTAGCTGTCCCTCCTTGTATTCCCTCCTTTGACCCAATCTTCCCTCCCTTCCATTTAAGCTTCTTAAAGTATGTACATATAAGAAAGAAATATAAATGCAATCACCAAATAATGCGGAAGACAAAGCCACAACTTGGCATCTCTCACCACCAAATGAAACCTCTAGTACCGGAAATGGGTTATATCTAATTGTGTTGCTGGCCAAAGGAGCTCCATGGAAAACCCCCAAACAACCCAGGATATTGTCAAGGCTATTGATCTCCACACAATGATGGCAAGGCCCTGTTGTTAAAGACACCACCAACATAACTCACTGGCCATGCAGAAGTCAACCTAGACCCTTCATTCCTACTGACTAGTGTTCATAGTACTAGATTCTGGTAAGCAGAAAGTAATCCAGCTACAAACCCTTTGATCTACAATGGTAACCTGCCTGCATGATAGACTGATACAATAGTGGCTC